CCAGGAATGACCTGAGTGTTGAGGAGCTATTCCAGCAGCATAAAGAGGCCAGCGTGGATTGAACAGAGTGTGGGCAAAAAAAAAAAAAAAAACCCTGGGCTCCAAGGAGTTTTAATAACTTTCCCAAATGCCCTAAGAAAGAGTAGGGGAACATACAAATCATAGGAACAGCTGTATTCTAAGTGGCTTGAAGTAGGGAATTGTCTTATTTGCCATTTTATGCTCAGTACCTGGAACAGTACTGAACTAATAAGAGATCCTTGGTGAATGGGTGTGATATAAGGAACGACTGAGCCACAGGGTTCTAAGACCTAAGAAAGGAGGTAGCAACGGACTGATAAAGACACCAGTAGGTAGTGGACATAGGTTTGGTTTGTTTGTTTTGGTTTGGTTTTTTTCCTTTTAGATGCAAGTAGTTTCTCATAAGCAGCCTAAGGCCGTCATAAGTATGAGAAGTTTAAAGGACCTTGGAGGGTAAAATTATTGGCTTCAATAACCACCAACTATTCCAGAACATCATGAAGAAAAGGTTTCAACTCTTTTGACTTGTGTCAAGTACCTGTAAGTGAACCAATTAGTCTGGACAGGGAAATGGTATACCCAATGTCACATACCCAATACTGTGGTCAGGAGCAAGGAGGAGGGTTTGCAGGACAATGGGTAAGAGACCCAAAGGACCTCTCAAAGCCCTCTGTTTTCTTTAGAGTTCTTTATTTTTATAGAGGTCAGTTACACATGGGATCTTCCGAACATCAGTTTCCTGGAACTATAAAATTTTACATGTGTGTATCTAAAACTTGGGCTGCAGGTGAGAACACTACGTGCTTTAATGGCCACACGTCAATGTTAAATCAAGTCCTTGTACGATGAAAATCACTCAGGAGAAGTGGTCCAGCGCATGTCATTCCGCTTTGCCACCTGCAGCATTGCCGTCAATTGGGCCTGCACTTCAGAAAGCTTCTGTTGGTTCAAACTGCCAGGATCATGCAATCGTTCATAGCAATGGACAGGGACAGGATAAATTACACGCTTCAGCTCCGTCAGCTTTGTTAAGTGCTGCAGAAGACTGGTGAGCGCACGCATTGTAATGGGGTTGGAGGCGAAACTAAAGACACGGAGGTGGGAACAGCGGCTCAGGGCCGGAATGACAGCAGTGAGAGTAGAATCAGTTATCAGACAATTATCTAACTCTAGATGCTGCAGCGTGCCTGAGACACTCGCCAGCAGAGTCTGGAAGGCCTCAGATAGTTCCCAGGATATCTCGTTGTTGCAGAGACTCAGCAATCTTAGATGGGTGGCTGGAGGGCTCTGGGACAGGACAGTGATGTCTCTGTTAGAAAGTCCACAGAAAGAGAGATACAATGCATCCAGCTGAGGTGGCAGGCATCTGTAGACAGAAAAAAGAAAGGTATTTCTGCACAATGAGGATTGGACCAGGACAAGGAGTCCTGAGTTGGAGGTATCTACCTACGGCTCCAGAATAAACTGATTTGCACATATGTTGCAACAGCAGTTAACAATGTGGGCTTTGGAATCAGACTCTAAGAAAGTTACTTTTCCACTCTGAGATAAAGTTTTTTAAATCTTTAAAACATGCACAATAGGAATCATTATGCAGTGTTGTGGGAAAGATTAAGTGGAAAAAAATTTAATGCACTTAATACTTACAATGTCTTCAATGGTGGATTTAGTTTACTTATTTGGTGGGGAGGGAACTGGGAA